CAGAGAAAGAGAGAGGAACTCATGTTGTTCCTCCATCTCTGAGTCCCTGGAAACTGGAAATGGTGAGGATTTCACCACTTCCAGTTTCAGCTTTGTTTACCTGGCCAGTAGAGGCCAGGAAAGCAGCTGATAAGACACAGATCAGGTTGGAGGCCAGAGGGGACCCCAGATCTCTCTGATCAGCTGCAATGGAGTCTAAGAGACCCCAGATATCTCTATAAAGAGGACCTTTCACAGCCCATGCTGTCACATGGGATGTTGCTGATCTCTTGTGATAGCAATAAAGTTAATACCAAAAAAAGACAGTTTAAAAAAAAAAGTTTTAGATAACAAATTAAAAAAGACATTTAAAGCGCCCCTGTCCCCCTGTGCTTATACACAAATGCAAAGGCATACACAAGCCCGATATGCATATGTAAATGTTGATTGTACCACACTTGTGAGGTACCGTCACGTTAGTGCAAGAGCAATAATTCTAGTGCCAGACCTACTGCATAACTCTAAACTGGTAACCTGTAAAGGTGTTTAAAGGATTGCCTATAGAGAATTGTAAGTACTGTAGTTTAGTGTGTAGCATGTTAAGTATCTATTTACTTGGCGTAACATCATCTTTTACATTTTACCAAAAATTGGGTATTATATCGTGTTTATGTGCAGTAAAATGTATTAAAGTGTATTTAAAAAAAAAAAAACACTGTGCAAATCCTGTGTGACATAAAAAAATTGGAACACCCATTATTCTATTCTCTTTGGTAAAATATGTTTAATGTTGGGGGATCAAAGTTTTCTAGCAAAAAAATGTAGATTGTTTATGAGAAGTGTCAGAATTTGTCTGGTAGGGAAGTGATACAAGTGGAACTTCACTGCAACTGAGCACCACAAACGAAAAATGTTTTTTTAATTCATTTACACTATTTAAAGCAAACACCCCCCCTCCATCCATGTTGCCATGCTTTTTTTTTGCTATGGAATCACTTTGAAAAACAGCCCCTAGCATTTCTGGTTGTGGCCATCTTTAGTAAGGGCAGATGATTTACTTCCTGGAAGCCATCTGCCCTTACCTCAGGCAGCCAGGTAGGAAGGTGTGATTAGATTAGCAAGCCCCTTCTTCCATTCTGAAGACTCCTTGGATGTATGACATCATTTGCTTAGGCATAAGAACCAGGATGTAACTGAATGTAATAAAAAAGGTTAAAACAAATAAACATGATATACTTCCCTATCAATTTACTAATTCTAGTAGCATAGGGATTAAAAACATAATCAGTGTTGATTGAGAGAGTGAAGTTCCTCTTTAAACACACTTTGCAATTCCTACAGGACAGTGAAAGTAAGACTATGGATGGACTTTTTCCTTATCTATCTATCTGAATGTCTATTTTTGTGACTTTAAATGGGCTTTAAGGGTGGAAGGTAGGAGAAAAGGAAAAGGAAGATTTAACTAAATGTCTGCTTGTTATAAAAGGTAAAATTCTCTGCAGAAATATAGTCCTGTGTATAAAGCCTAGTACACAAGATCAAAATGAAAATCGTATGAAAAATACCACTTTCGAAGGGATCATACAATAATCTGATCGTTAGTACAAAGTTTTCATCTGAAATTATTTGAAGGAACAAAACACGAAAATTTTTCTCGAGTGATAGCAGATCGTACAATTTTTGTTTAATCAGCACAGTTTTCATCCAAAAATACAATACAAATACATTACATCACTTCAGAATTTTCTGTCTGTCATACAAGAATTTTCATAACCTTAGTAACGTCTTCACTTTTGATATGAGACTTGCATGCAAAAAAAACCCCCAAAAAACGGAGGATCATTGATGCAATATTCTCATCGTGTGTACGGGGATTAAGACTGTACAACGGTTGTACATTATTATTGTCGATAATTGTATGAAATAGCATAGAAATTTAATCATATCTTGGTTTGCTAACAATTTATATACTGATGTCAGCAAATACAATAACTTCATAATTTATAATATTTGATAGCAGTTGGTGTTAAAATAAAGTACCATAATGCTTAATATTTAATATTGGCACAACATGTATAATTTCCTACCTTTGCCTTGCTGTTTGAGGAGAAATACTCTTCTACAAAGAGAGCCCCTAGTGCCATTCCAAAATGTTTATTGGCTTGAGTAAGACATACTTTCACCAGCTCTAGCTGCTTTTCTGAACCCTCCATCTCTTTAGACAACTCATGAAGGGCATCTCGGAAAGGAGTGGAGAGATGTTCACTCAGTACCACAACAAGTCTCCAGAGCATGTAATTGTGAAGGACACTATGAAAAGAAAAATGTGGTAAAAGGGTTTGTGCTGGCTTCATCTGATATAACCAAACACTTACTGTATTAATTATTTGAATGTACCTGTGAAATAATATCACAGTAAGAAGCATTAAAAGATGTAAATTCAGCACATTACACAACTAATTCTATAGTAGATGATTGTCAATGTGTCCCGCTGTCAGTTACAAGGTTAAAGCCATCATAAAGTTGAAGTGCATGATGAGTAACTAAGGAATTACATTTTCACCAGGGGTGATAGGAGGCGGAGGATTTTAGGCATCTACTTGAAGATTTATTTTCTTCCACACTTACAGATAGCTATTTGGCAGGTTTAATCCTCAGATTGTTCTTTACATTTTAAATCCTAGTAATTGAAATGAAGCTTATGTAATCTTGAGGCTTTTAATGAACTCATCCTCTAGGGCACTCGTCACACAACTCCTTTGTTCACCGCAGTACAGACTGCTCCGTATGCAGAAGAGTGGATGAAAAAGTGAGGTCTAAGTATAGAGTGAAAGTATTATCCTGAGCACATCCTGAGCCAGCAATCCTTATTATACGTCAAAAGGGTAGCTTGTATTATATTATATCCCCATCATAAAAGCATTGTCTCACTGCAAAAGAACTGACTATCAAAAGCTGTTTATCTATTATTCTTTTCCTGAAAATTGCTTTTGTATTTTTAGGTCTGCATATACTACTCAGAAACACTCAGCTTTTCATACATAAAATAATGTTATATTCTAATACTGTTTCTTGCAGGTGAAATTGAATCCAAACCTTGTACAGAGAACATCACAATGCTGGTCTGCTCAAGCAATCACTTTGCAAACACAACACATTGACATTCAGAACACACTAAACTCTCACCAGATCAATGACCATTAGCTTAATGTCCCAAGCATAGAGTCCAGTCTGGGAGAGGTTGGGGCATGTCAGCTGTGAGTGTGCCCAGGGCTTTGTATGACATTATAAGGAAAGAAGAAAGAAACAGAGAGGAATAATGATTGAGGAGGGGGCTGGAAAGTCAAAGCAAGAGATGTAGGTTGGCAGAGAGAGAAGGTGAATGCTGAGTGCATTAATGGGGATACAGGGGAAGACAGAGAAATAAGAAATTCAGATGAGCTAGCGGAATCCAAACAAGTCTGATATAGAACCAGGCGCAGGAGAATAAAGCTAGGGCTATTCTGTTTTATAAGGTAAGATGAAATTCTTGCTAGTAAAAAAGTTATAAAGTGTGCCTAAATAAAGGAAACAAAAGAAAATAGAATTGTAAATGTAAGACAAGCCATGCAGAAAAGGTACAAAAAAAAGTTTAATAGAAAAAAAAATAGAATTTGAGAAGGAGAATTCAGTCTTCTTTTAATTGACATTACTCTCACCTCTGAAAGAACAATATAAAAGTCCAGAGTGACCTTGCCACCTTGTCTTTTTCTAAGTCACCCCTGAATTCCCCTTGGACAGATACCAATAACTACCCTATTATTGCCACAGCAAAGGTGTCAGATGTCACCTCTGATACATAGTGTAAATGAATGGTCTTTTATTGATTTTGACAAGAGATACTAAGTGTACCAGAGCTCAAACTTTAATATTACTGCCAATAACACAGAGATGAGCATACAATACATCTACCGATACACAAATCTCTCTTAGAATCATATTATGATGCTTGTAAAGGTTCTTGTCTATTCTTTCACTTTAAAGAAAAGTTTATTATTAAGAACTCTAATATACAAAAATCGCCCAAGGGACTTTAAAAGAGCTGCACCAAGAAAACAAATCAGTACATTCCTAAAAAACAAAATCGATGTTTTTATACAAGTACATGATTAAAATCGGGTTAATATTACATAAAGTATATCCAAAGATAGGAGGTAAGTAGTATGTAATTTTTTTTAGTAAGTAGTAGGTATAACATAGTCTATATGCATATAACAATAGAAAGTTTATATCCTTAAACTCAACTCGTTTTGTGAAGCAACAGTCACTTTTTCAAGAGATTGTAATATTCAAATGAGTTTCCAAAAATGTTCACAGCCATCACCAAAAGAGGGAATGCATCTCTGTCTCTCATTCCCTCTTTTGGTGATGGCTGTGAACACAGGTTGTTGGCTCCCTTGGTCCATACACAGAACCTAGTGTCTGTATTAGGCTGTCCACTCTATTCGGTGTGCTCCAGTGTGTGACGTCTGTTGTATGTTCCCTTTTAAGTGGGTTCCTGCCCTTTCCACAGGTCCTGGACAAGTCTCTTCTGGTAGTGCTTTTTCATTGCACTAAATTTTTACCAGAGAGGGGTTTTGCACTGAGAAATATTTTTTATTGCTATCTCCTGAAGAAGTGAATGTTGCTAAATGAAACATGTTGAGTATAAGGATATCAACTAGCTATTCTTCTATGCACATACTGCTCCTATGTCCATGGCACTGTGGCCTTTATTATTAACTATTAACACATATAATGAATTGTAAAAGTAATGCTACAAATTACATCCCCCCCTCATTGTGCACACACACACACTATATACTGTATATATATATATATATATATATATATATATATATATATACACACTATATTGACAAAAGTATTGGCACACCTCTCCAAATCATTGGATTTAGGTGTTCCAATCACCTCCATGGCCACAGCTATATAAAATCAAGCACCTAGGGATGGAGACTGCTTTTTCAGACATTTATGAAAGAATGGGTCACTCTCAGGAGCTCAGTGAATTCAAGCATGGTACCATGATAGGTTGCCACCTGTGCAATAAGTCCATCTGTGAAATTTTGTTGCTACTAAATGATCCACGGTCAACTGTTAGTGGCATTATAACAAAGTGGAAGCAACTGGGAACAACAGCAACTCAGCCACAAAGTGGTTGGCCACGTAAAATGACAGAGCGGGGTCAGCGCATGCATAAGTGTACATTGCACAGAAGTTGCTAACTGTCTGGAGAGTCCATAGCTAAAGACCTCCAGATTTTGTGTGGCCTTCAGATTAGCACAACAGTGCATACAGAGCTTCATGGAATAGATTTCCATGGCCAAGCAGCTGCACCCAAGCCTTACATCACTAAGTGCAATGCAAAGTGGCGGAAGCAGTGGTGTAAAGCACGCCACCACTGGACTCTAGAGCAGTGGAGACATGTTCTCTGGAGTGACGAATCTCTTTCACTTTAAGTGTTGTGACATCAGAGCCCCTCCCCTGATGTCATGACGCTTAAAGGCAACCACACAGCAAGTATATGGGAGTGTGGCAAACATATTAAGGATCATTCAAAATTGTACAAAAAGCGGTTTATATCTGTATATTATGTGAGTGAACTACATTTATGTAATAAGTCTTTTAAAAAGAGGATAAGGCACTATATTTTCTTTTTAATTACATGGAATATATATACATGGAGGAAAAAGTTTGAAAAGAGTCAAGAGACCCCCTAGTGATAAGAGAGATAACTCCATCCATCCGCCTCCAAGAGAAAGATCTTTAGGAAACGGCGAGACCCCCTGCTGGGAAAAAGCGAAAACTCCATTCATCCAACCATCCATCCATCTGGGATTTATCCATTTGTCCACCTCTGAGCCTAATTAAAGGGACACAAGCTTGTATGACCTCATTTAGCGGTTTGGTCATATATGTCAGGTGAGAGCACAACTGGTGAAGGAGCACAATATATATGAATTGGTGGACTATATTTGTTTGGTAATATACCATTAGAAGACACCATAGGATCACAGATTTGTTGAAGATATGCATGCAGCACTGGTGTGATTGCAATTATCACGCCGTGGAAATTTATTAGGACTCAGTCACTTGATATTATTTGTTTGCAATATATTTTATTAATTCATTTAATATACTGTATGTATATTTAATGTACTGATAGTGGAGTGCGACACAATGGGTTTTTGATTTGTTTAGACACACTGGTATGAGTATGTGTATAGTGTAGGCGACCCACTCATTTATTTATATACTCAATTATTTGCTTATTAGTTTAAATATTGCACATATATCAAACACAATTATATATTAAATTGGTAGATTTTATTTATATATTTTTCACCTAATGTAATACACCATAGTAGCTCACAAGAATCACATTTCTAAAAATACATTTTTGGCAATTTCATGTTCCCAACTTTGTGGGAACAGTTTGGGGATGGCCCCTTCCTGTTCCAACATGACTGCACACTAGTACACAAGGTCCATAAAGACACGGATGAGTGAGTTTGGGGTGGGGGAACTTGACTGGCCTGCGCAGAGTCCTGATCTCAACCTGACAGAACATCTTTGGAATGAATTAGAATGAAGACTGCGAGCCAGGCCTTCTCGTCCGACATCAGTGCTTGACCTCACAAATGTGCATCTGGAATAATGGTCACACATTCCCATAGACACACTTCTAAACCTTGTGGACAGCCTTCCCAGAAGAGTTGTCATAGCTGCAAAGGATGGGCCAACTCAATATTGAACCCTACGGACTAAGACTGGGATGCCATTACAGTTCATGTGCGTCTAAAGACAGGCATCCCAATACTTTTGGCAATATAGTGTGTGTATATATATATATATATATATATATATATACATATATATACACACACACACACACACACACACACACATTTTTTGTTCAGCTGAGGAAGCCATAAGAAGGACCAATAAGTCCATGACTAGGTCTTTTTTGCCACTTTCTCCAATTAAATGTGACATTATTAGAGCTGAACTCAAAATAGATATGAAAAAGACACCAATGAGTGCAGTTATATGTTTAAATGTAACTAGTGTAAAATACATGAATTTGACTGTATTTCAGCCTCTTATAATCTCCTGTATAGGAGCATTCAGACTGGGTTACGGAAAAACAGTACTTGGGATCAATCAGGTATTCTGCATGCACACAGGCTAGCAATGAACATAATGTCCAGGATGGGAAGGTGACTTAGTCATGTTGCTTAAGTGCAGCAGAGAAAAGTCAGGAGGTCATCAGCAGGGCTATGCTGTCCTTAGGGTAGGGTGGACAGAAATACAAACGTGTTTTTTCAGGTAAAATGACTTCCATGTGTGTATTTTAATAGTGCATTTAGCAGTTTGCCCAGAGTTCAGTTTTTCAGTAATAACAATTAAAGATATTTCTTTATCTTGAAAGAATTAATTTGATCTGAAGCAGCTAAAGTGAATAAATTCTCTCTTTTATGTTGTAATACCTTCAGTCTAATTTTCTAATTATTAGCAGTAAGCTTTAAACCCACACAGAAACTGGAAATCTTTAGTGAATTGCCATGGGTAGGTGCACTCTGAAGTGCCACTGTGTTTAGCATCCTCTGCTAAATGAGTTTTACTGTTGTTTTTTACTTTTTTCTGTATACATTTTTAACCAGACCCCCTATCATTTTATTATTTACTGGTTAAAGCAGTATTAAATCCATAAGCAAACATTTATTATATTGCAGATTACCAATTCTTAGATGTGATGGATGCATTAGTATCCTTTTTAGGCTTTTTTTCTTCTATATTCGCCAGGTGATCCTGCCAGTAAGTCTGTTGTTTTTTTCAACAGAACAATCTGTCCTGCAGATGCAGCAATTAGAGGGTTTAGAAAAAGCCATTTAACATTGGCAGGGGTGCTTACAATAGTCAGCTTTCATGTAAAACCTTTATCTCAAAAGGAAGAAAACTGTTACTGTAACTGCCTAAAAAGTGTTAGCTGGAGTTTAGCTTTATTTATTTAGTGGAACTAAATTTGCTAGTACATATAACACTCCCCTCCCCCGGGACTGACAATGCTAATGTCTAAAGGTGTCTGTTGCTCCTTCAGCTAGAGTGTAGGCACTCTAATAAAGGAGGTGTATTGCTGGCCAGATTACCAAGTAAAATCAGAGGGAAAAAAAACCCAAAAAACTAACGCAGCCACCACACCTAAGGATTAGGCTGGCCATACACTATACAATTTTCTTGAGATTTTTGGTTTAGATTTACCAAAAACCATATAATAGGAGGTCAAACCTAACAACACTTTCAATTGTATCCAATTAGGCAGGCCCTTGCACTACATAGTTGAAGGTAAATCTAAAGGAAATTGGGCAGAAATTGGACAGAAAATTGTATAGTGTATGGCCAGCCTTAGTAAGCTGCAATATATTACATTTTTGGTTTGGGGTTTAATACTGCTTTACTTTGTATTGGCCGTTCAAGGTATAGGTTTTACTGTCTGTTTATGACTTTTCTCTAAGATCACATCATTCAATTGCTTTCATTTTTAAGATAGAAACTATGGGTGAATATCACCTTTGAAACATGTTACATGTTCCATCCATATTTAGGATGGAACATGTAACACGTTCTATTTCCTGTCCCCTCTCTCCTTGTTCCCCCTGATCACCCCCGTAACAGCAGATGGGGGTTCTTCTCTCTACATCCGCTGTCACTTTTCAAAAACAGTGTGGCTGTGTGGGGCTCATTCAGATGTGTCATTCATTCACAAATTCCTGTGAATGAATGAACTACAAGTATCATCTTCCACTGTGGCAGATGGTTTGTAGTTTCAATGAGCTGTGGGGGAGCTGATGAGTGCTCTCATAGTCCACTGGCATGTCCTCCAGCTTTCAAACAGACAATCCATACAGGAGTATGGACTCAGGATGAAAGCCGGAGAACATGTCTTCAGGAGCCCTCACTGAACCCATGATCAGGTTTCTGCAGGAAAAAAATACTACTAATTTAAATTTTTTGTTCTGCAAAAATACTGTATGTGCAATATCATCATTTAAAAACTGCATTTTGAATTTACTCAGGTTATCTTTGTGTAATATTAAAATTTGTTTGATGATTTGAATCATTTAAGTGTGACAATTATACAAAAAATAAAAATCAGGAAAGGGGCAAATACTCTTTCACGGCACTGTAGATACTTTATACAAAGACCATAAGCCTCATTTGGTGGTATAAAACCTATGCTGACATCATGAAGTTCCAAAAAGTGGGAGGCTTTGACCTTGAGCCTGGGTTCATACTGATGTGGTGCAGAGTCCACGCTGGTTTCTGTGCGATTTCCACACCGCATCACAATTGCACCCTGTTCATGCGAACCGCTGCGGGTGTGTATGTTAAGTTAACAACACCTCGAAGTCAGTTTGCAAAACGTGGTGCGATGTGCAGAATCAGATCGCATCGGGTGTGAATACCCCTGTGATCCAATTCTAGTGCAGACCAAGAGAAGGGTCCTGCACCTTTTTGGTGCAGATGCGGTGTGATTTGAGCCATCCAAAATATGTGGCTCAAATCGCACCGCACAGAATTTGCATGTGATTTGCACAGGAATGCAGTACGGTTCCTGTACAAATCACATGCAATACGCAGAAGTGTGAACCCAGGCTCAATGGGTGCAGTGTGTATTTGGGTCTGACTATATAAAGTCAAGATAACATGGTGGTCTTATTTAGTAGATATCTGGCACAGATTTCCAGCAGCTGTAATTTGAAACAGAGTGTAAAAAACACACACATGTAAAACATTAAATTCTTTTCTGCCACGGAATCATGAATTAATGAAACAGACAAGGTACTTGGTCCTTAGCTGCCACTGGCATTGATTTTCAATTTAAAAGCATATCTCTTTGTCAAATGAATTGAAAGGCTTTTAGTTATTTTTCATTACACCATAAGTTACTTTGATACTTTGTCTTTTACCTTGAAAATGCCAGAACACATGTTTACATCAAATAGGAGCTAAACAGCTGTCTCCGGGAAGGAGCAGAAATCATAGCACTCAGTGTTCGCCTACATCTTTATCTCCATGCATGGCTATAAATTTGTCTGCCAGCAGGATAAAACACCAAAAGGTATCAATGTGATATTGCTCTACCTGGGTTTTGGCTGCAGGATAAATGTTACATTTTCAAACCCTGCATGATAGTTCTGGATCTGACTATGTGAATGTGGAATTAGAAATGTGTAGACATGCTGGATGTAGTAGTGTGCCAAGGAAGCACTGGTTGATAGGATTTCAGTTAATAGGTTGGTTGTTGCTGGGTAAATGGACTATGTATTCGTATATTGAAATTAATATCGTAGTATGACAGCCACAACAGATGAGTAATGTGCAGAGGTTTGAATGGAAAATAGACACCGGAAATACTGCAGCCAATCAGAGAAATAGCAGACAATAAGTAAAAAGATTCAATCAAGATCACAGTGTTGTATGGGAACAGATACAATGTAGGCTTCTTTTTACCTTCAGACTGTGTGCTGCCATTGCAGGGCGGTCAGCGATTAAAACTTGCCATGTTTAGCTTCCCTATTAAGTCTGTCACTCTGTAGCAGAAATTGAAGGAATTGGAGCTCTTGACACTGCTCTATGGGTGGGCACTGCACCCCACAAATGTAATATCTTGTCTTAAATTTAGTCCAGACACTGAAAAGTTTAGTAAAACATGTTCCTTTAATATGTGAACAGCTGCCTGTCCATTTTTTTTCTATCAATAAGGGGAGTAAACAGGCTGTTCTGGATTCTGCTGCATAAGTCAGGTCCCCACAACATTTCTTAGGGCTCATTTCCATGCATGACTAGACAAAATTGCATTTTGGACGAATTTGTTTGTTATTCAGAGATCTGGATGTATTCGAATAACGAATTACAAAAATAACGAATTTAAACGAATCCAAAATAACGAGATGAAATTTGATTAGAAAACAAATTTGAATTCGAAAATAAAATTCAAAGCAAATTCAAAAGCAAAATCGAACAAACATTCAAAAACACATTCCCCATAAGGGGAAATTCCGCTTTAAGGACTAGTCCTCTGCTCCCCGTTATTTTACACATTTTTTTGAATTCGGTTGAAATCTTTTTGGTTTGGAACGACTTTTCGAATTTGGTCGAAATGTTTTGGAATTGAATTTGAATACGAATTACTGAAACAAATCCTGAAAACAAACTGAACGAATTTACCAAATCCAACTACACAAAATCTGTTAGATGTCGAAACGAAATGAGACATTTTTTTGCTTTGCACATGTCTATGTGGGACTATACTACTACTAACCCTCTGAAAACCAATCCATGGTGCACCACTTTTCAGAGGACGTTCCACAGGCGGTGAGGAAGCAATGTGTTGCTTCTTTACTGCCTATGTTAACCCTCAAAATTCCAAGTCACTGTGCTGCATGGTG